CTTTTAATGTATGCATATGCAAGATGGCGTCGCTCACACGCTACATACTTCATTGCAGCTTGTCTCATTTTCCATTTTCCACATTTTTCATTTTTAGTTTTCATTTTTCATGCTCGAAAATTGCTTTATTAGACGCGTCGCTGCTGTCACAAAGTTCTTCAGTTACTTGGATATATATAAATATATATGTATATATATCCTTTTATGTATATATATATATATATTTTGTTGGCTAAACGCCTAACGAGCAGCTGACTGTTTCACTGTGTAGACGCCTCTCTAGTTACGTAGTCTGTGCGACTAACTGAGTAACTGTCTAACTGACGGACTTGTCAAAGGCAGTGGCAGCAGCAGCAGGTGAACTCCTTGTTGTGGTCCTGTGACAACGACGACAGTTTGACAAACGAATAGCAGCAACTGCAACAATATCAAGTATAAAAAATGTTGCCTTTTGTTATTGTGATTTGCGCTGATTTGTTGCCCGGGCGCTGCGTCATGCGGCTTGTTTTTTTCCGGCGCTCAGGTCTTTGGGTCAGAGCCATGGGGAAAGAAAAAGAGCACGAGGTAAGGGGCGGGGCACTCAAAAAACTTGCCACAAGCACACATACATAGGCGGCATTTCCTTTTTATGTTTGTTATGTCCATGTCCTGCCATATGTCCTTTGTATCAATGCGGGCATATAGCCTATTTGTGTGCCTATGCCTCTGCGTGTGTGTTTTGATTATAACGTATTGGATGTTGCTACTGTGCTTTTGGCTGCTGTTTCTTCTATTTGTGTTGCTACTCGTCTCTAAGCTGATTTACGTGGATTTTATTTATGTATGGGTGTGTGTGTGTGCTTGCCCTTTTTTGCTCTGCATAAATGGGCGTATAAGCGATATTTTTTGTTGTCCTTTTTTGTTTTGTGCTGTTGGGTCTCTCTTGTCTGGCTTTTGTACAGTGTTTAGTTGCTGGCAACAGTTGATTGATTGATTGAACGTTTTGATAAGTGCTGTCACTGGGTTAGCTACGTTTTTTATTGAGTTGTCTATGGTTGAGTTTTTAGACCGCATCTATCCACACACACACACGCACGCATCTTTTTCTATCCATTGTGCAGAAGGCGAAAAAACTGTAAGCTTTATCCATACAAAATTGCTGCAGAGCTGGGTTTTCTTTTGCAGGCTTGGGATACAGCACAAGTCAAACATAATTGACCACAAGCCAAGGCAAATGCTGGTTAAGTATAACCCAGTAGGACTTTGGTAAAATATCAAACCAATCAGCACAAAGAATGCTGAATAGTATGCTACTTTTCTAATGCCAAAATCCAAAGGGTTCAATTTATATCATATTTATGTCATAGGCTGCTTAACTTCTGCATAGCTACAAGCGAGTTACAAGGTTTAAAATTTGTGTCCGGGTTATATAATATTATTTTCATATAGTATTATATTATTTTGATATAATATATAATTTTGATACTCGACATTATCACAACTCTGCTAAAGCTCAATATATTTCGAGAAACACAATTCTAAGTTCTTTGGTCAAACACGAGGCAAATATCAATTTCGATCGATGAGCTCTGAGAGGAATCGACAACTTGTGTTTGTTCTGTAGTCTGTCTAGGGAAAGGTGGGCTGGTAAGTTGTTCACAAGAAAGTTAATACTTTAAGCAAACAAGTTTGTGTATACTAAATTAATAAATAGGGTTTTGCATTTCCAAAGTTTGTAACAAATGTGGGCGTAGTACAATAGCTTAATAAGCGTTTAGCTATCGACAATTGAGACATTGCCTCAAACCCTAATGTACTTGAGGCGCCTACTCGAAGGCAAAAAACACAGACACATACAGAGAAAGGCATAGAGAAACAGAGAAAGGGAGAGAAAGAGCATAAGGCACATTACTTGCACTCGGACTCGCTGGCCAAGTGGTGGCAGGCAGCGTGCACTTAAGTAAACTGCACAAGTGCCTGTTCGACGTCCACAAGATTTGTGAGACAGGGTGGCAACGCTCACAGACTGCACTCGAAACTGGTTTCCTTGTTATGCATAGAGAGCGAGCTAGAGAGAGATAAAGGGATAGAGAAGAAAGCCAACTCTTGGGCATAAACTTGTACGCAAAAGTTTCATTCATGCACTTGATAGCACCTAATGCAGTCAAGGATTGAAATTGAAGCGGGTGTTGTTGGCAGTGGGTGTGCTTGGGGGTGTCTGGAATGAGAAGCCATTGCTGGGAGCTGCTTGTGAAACTGCGCAATTAGTACGCATCGATAGACACGCGCGTGCACTCGACACCAGCGAGCACAACAAAAGCGAGCAATCCAAGCAAAATGCTAATTAAGTGGATGGACAAAAGCTTTTGCTTTAAGAAGCAGGCTCCGCCTGCCTTGTCTGCCAGCCACACATGCCACTTGCCATATGCCACAATGGCGCTGAACAGTCATGTGAAAATTTTGCAGCTCTGGTCGATTTTCTGGTACTTCTACCAACACGCATGCCGCTACTTTTGGCACAATTAATGTATGCAGAATTTGTTTAATTGACGACTCGCATGCCATAACTTATACGCCACATACACACAGACACCGAAGTCTGAAATTTGTGCACAGTTGGGAAGGGGCAGCAGGAAGGGTATTGGGTAGCTGGTAACGAGAGCTTGTTAATTGCGCTGCGCTTGACATGCTTGAAGTGACTTGGTGCTGTTGGATTTTAATACCCTGCAGTGAGAGAGCTCTTAATGCATAGCAAGTCGGGCATAGCCCATTGCGACGACATTTGATGTAAGTGCTCTAATTGTTTTAAAAAACTTAAAGCATTGTTTTAATGAGCTGCCATATTTTGTGAATGAATATATAAAAAGATAAATCTAAACTATGAAATTGAAATTAATATTCTGAGTTTGTTTCCATGAATTGAAAGCAGTTTTAAATTTTCTTTTACACACTTATGAGTGTCCAAGCCTGAAGCTTAGGTTTCTAATATTTGTTTATCTCTTTGCAGGGTATATTTCAGGAAATTCAATAGCCATTGGCTTTATTGCAGCACTCTGCCTTTGGCAGACATTCAACTTTCTAGCAGCATGCACTTGGCCAAAAGGCATTGGACAGAGTCGTCGGCGCTTTGGGCCTTCTAAGCGAATTTGCAAGTTAAAGTTAAAGTTTTGTCGCCTGTGCGTGTCGCTGCAGTGTAATATAAACGAAGGCAGAAAAAGAGCAGCAGAATAAAACAAAAAATATAAAAAAAAAACAGCAAGAAGAGCAAAGTTTTTAACGGCGAAGCCATTTCATGCTCATAAGCATAACTTTGCAATTTAAGAGTTTTGGAATTTTGGGAATTCGCTTGCATAAGCAAGGCTCGAAGTGGAGCGTGAAAATGTGTGAGGGCAGCCAAGGCAAATAATTTGTTGTTAGCTCGAACTTAGCTTTGGCTTAAAGTTCGCTTTGCTGCGGCTAACTTTGCTTTACAATCAATTATGAGTGCAGGTTGAGTGGAGAGTATTGTTAACCTGTCCGGCACACATTTAAATGCAATTTAATGCAATTTATGGCCTGCTGCCAGGCTTTATAATGCGTTCACCAGCACCAAAGCCAGAGCCAGAGCCAGAGCCAGAGCCAGAGCCAGAGCCAGAGTCAGAGCCAGAGTCAGAACAACAGCCCTTATTAAAAGCGGAAACAATGCGCACTTCCGCCTCAATTGTGCAACTGCAACCTGCGCGCGTGTGTATGTGTGTGTATGCGTGTGGGCTGCCATAGGACACGCAAATGAGCACTGGTATAATGTGCATGCATTATTATTCATGTTGTTGGCGCGCTGATAAAGAACAAAAAATAAAAACAGCCACACGAACAAGGAGCACAACTACAACAGCACAAACTTAACAATTTATAGCGCTCTCCAGCCCGCAACTACAATAGCCACGCCTCTTTTTGGCTTTATGCATAGACTAAGAGAGAAAGAGAGAGATCGAAAGAGGAAGAAAACCACTTGGCCGCATTTAAATTACCAGCCATAAATAAACAGTGTTCAATTAATGTGGCCAAAGAAAACTGTGTGTGTAGTTGCCTCAGTGCCTTAGCGAAACGTTGCGTATACGCAGCATATTCCATGAAAAGAAAGGCACATGGTGTTGGCTGAGCTGGCAGTGAAGCAGCGGAAGAAACAAGAGTGGGCAATATTATCATAAGCAGCCACATCAGCAATAACCAGCGAAGAAGACCACGCATATTTCATATGAATATAACTTAAAGTTCAAATAATACTCTCCAAAGGATAATTCAGCGTTTCTTATCTCTTTTATGTCTTCTCTGCTTCTCAATGTTATTCTCACACTTTTCGATTGTTATGCTACGCAAGGTTTCGATATATATATTTAAGAGACAGTTATGTGAGTATAGCAAGTGAATTTATTGTGGATCGCTAAACGTTTAAGAATATGGCACAAAGCATAATTGACAAAAAGTTACAATTGATAACTGACTGACTAGCGAAGTGATTGACTGATTGACTGACTGACTGACTGTCTAATTGACTAACTGACTAACTGACTAACTGACTGACTGTCTAATTGACTAACTGACTGACTGACTGACTGACTGACTGACTGACTGACTGACTGACTGACTGACTGATTGACTGACTGACTGACTAACTGACTAACTGACTAACTGACTAACTGACTAACTGACTAACTGACTAACTGACTGACTGACTAACTGACTAACTGACTAACTGACTAACTGACTAACTGACTAACTGACTAACTGACTAACTGACTAACTGTCTAACTGACTACCTGGCTGACTGGCTGACTGGCTGACTGGCTGACTGGCTGACTGGCTGACTGACTGACTGATGACTGATGATTAATGAGTCTTTCCCAAAAGATATTTTATAAGTGAAACTCTATCTACGACTGTATAGAGTATTAGCTATGTTAAGCAGCTTGGGCTCAGCTTATCTTTTATGGGAGACACATACATATATTTATATATTTAGTTTATATAGAAAAACTTACCTCATTTACAAGCCACACACATATTGTCGAGAAACTGCTTCGTCAGCTCGATGTCTGATCTGAAATGGAAATAAATGAAATATGATGTCAAGTATTTGATTTTGCAGGGCGTCCAACTGGAATTATGTAGCTGTGGCTATATACATATCTTGTCGTCTCACTTTGCTTCGCTATATTCATTTTATTTCCTTTGGCATTAGCATAAAAGTCACATTTATCAAATTGCGAGGCAGAACTTTAGAAAATAAGAAAACTAAACACAAGAAAAGGGGCTAAAATTGTAGCGCAGCAAGCCGAACGCCCCTCGTGCTAGCCACGCCCACTTGTCAGACACCAAACTAAAAGGAAAGAAAAAGGATGAACTGAAACGTTGTCAAATGTTTGCTTTTATCAAAGGAGACATTTTTAGTTGGCATTTTGTGTTGTGATTTAGATGAAATTTCGCATTTTCTTTGCTCTCTCTTTTTTTTTTCTTTGGATTTTTTTACTATTTGGATTTACTTCACCCTTGTAAGGCCGCAGTTTGAGTGGGTTCAAGGGATCAAAGTGCTGTTTAAGCAGCCGTTCTAAACTCATTTGACCATTTTAATGTCGTTTTAAAGACAACAAACTGACACAAAAAGGATGTGCCTGCAAGTCACACACACACACACATACACAAGGAAAAACTTGTCGTTTGATTTTGTGTGTTTGGGGTTTGTGGGGACAGCCAAATATGCTGTCATCACGATTATCCTTAACGTCGTATGGCTGCCAATACCAGTTGTTTCCTCTTCCGCTATAACATCAGCACACACACACACACACTAGCACATTCTCTCACACTCACACACACATGACACTGCGGATGTGTAAGAAATTTGTAAAACGAGTCACAGCCCGACCGTAAGAGATAGCAGCTGGAGAGCGACAGAGAGCGTGAGAGGGAGAGCGAACGCTTGGCAAAAGCCAGTTCAAGCGTCAACTATAGTCTGACCTGCCACGCCTCCTGCTGCCTGTCCCCCCGTCGCCTTTTGCCTACCCACTCCCTTATTCTACTTTGACTTCTTCTGTCCTGATTGCCAAAAATGTGCGTTTCTCTAGCTGCAAAAAAGGGGGTTCCTTCTGTAACGTTCCTGTGCAGCTCTTTCCTTCATTTTGCTTTGTTGTCTGCTAATTTTTGGTATTTTTTGCTGTTGTTATTGGTATTCTGTGAGGCTCTTCTTCTTCTTCATTTGCGTATTCTTATTCACTTGGCGAACTTTTGCTTTGCCGTTTCATGCATAATTTTTCTTTTATTTCATTTCAGTTCACTTTTCAGTTCTTTTCTTCTCGTTTTCATTTTTTTTTTTTGCTGCAAATTGAAATTTAAAATTTATGCAAATTGTGCTGTCAACCCCAAAAGGGTTCTCGTGATGGTGCAGGAAATGGTTATTGCCACACACACAGACACATACAGTCCGATTTCAGCTTCAATTTTGTTGTCATATAATGGTGTTGGTAATTGTGTGACTCTCACTGTCTGTCTGTCTATCTGTCTGTTTGTCTGACTTGCTGCACAAATTAATCGAAATTAAAGTTTCAGCTCAGGCCGTGAACATTTTTTATGGCATACTTTGTGGCGTCGCAGCGCTAACAAGCCACGCCCAGTCGGCACGCGTTAGAAAGTAGAGAGGGGAAGAGGTCAGGCTTATCTAAAATCCTGGCACGCTATTCAAGTCCACAGCTCCAGTGACCAGACGAGCCATTCAGCGGCTTAATCACAGCACAACACGCAGCCACGCCCATAGCTGCAGCACATGTGTTAAGGCAGCAAAGGAAGACATGGCGGGCTGGTTGCCTAAGGGGCAGGGGAACTTACTTCAGCGTCGCCGCGTGCAATTAATTAAAAACAAACAAATTTCAGAAATGCACGGCAGTAACGCGCGCCCGCGTCGCCAGAAGCTGTCAATGAACAATGAGGGGGTAGACATGGGTACAAGCCATTCAGTATAGTCAGGATGGTCAAACAGGACACTGACCAGAGCGCTGCTCGCAACTCAGGCAGACAGGAGCAGAAGGCAGTCGCCAGGCAGGCGACAGGCGACAGGCGACAAAAGTTGCTGCTCTAAGCGTTTTTTAATGCAGCGCAGCGCACAGATTTCAGCCAGGCCCTCCATCCTTCGCTTCCATTCTCTGTCTCTCTCTCTCTCTGTCGCTCTCTTGTGTCCTGTCTCTGGTAATTTCGTTTTATTATTTTGCAGTTTTCTGTGTCGCTACTCGACGCTGTGTGCTCTACTTTGTAAATATTAAATTATGAACAAAAAAAATGTATATGGCTAGAAGAAAAAGCACAAAAAATGTCCCAAAGGCTAGCGAGCAGCCCGAATTTTTTCATATTATTATTATTTTATTTTTTTTTTTTGGCCAACTGTCAACGGCAGCTGCAGCTGCAGCCAACAAAAGCAAAAGGCAACCAAAGAAATCAGATAACTGTTATGGTTATGGACCATAATAACTGCAATCCAGGTGAGACCAAGAGACAGTAAGACTGTGAGACAGTGAGCCGGTGTCGTGTCTGCACAACTGCAGTAATCTGGGCCTCGAGCAGTGCTTAGGCGACAGCCGCAGCTGCATATGCTGCGTATACGTAACGCGCATTACGTATACGTTATGTGCGCCATTTAAACCAGCCAGAACTACACCCTGTGTCATTTGCTTTAACAATTACGTGACATTCGCAGCAACTAGCCATAGTCCTATCACTGCCCACTCTCTCTCTCTCTCTCTCTGTCTCTCCTTGTATTTCTCTTTCGCTATATATGTTTCTACACACATTTGGCACACCGCATTTCACATTCGCGCAGCATGTGCAGCAAATGTCCAAAGCTGAGGCGTGGTCACTGCTAGAGCGCTATTATTAAAGCTTCAACCTCAACTACTTTGAGAACAATATATGTTAGATTCTATTCTTATCTCAAGATTATGATATGCAAGCGATGAATGATTACAAATCTTTCTTTGTCTACATTTCAAATCAAGAAAAATCTTTTCAAAAGTTGACTTTTGCTTCCAAACCATAAAATAATTAGGCTTCTTCACATTAATGTTAAATGTTATGTATGCAGCTAGAAAATTTATCTTTTCTGTGTACTTAAAGATTGAATTTAATACAAACTAATTAAAATGTAGACTTGTGCTTTAAATAATGACTTCTATTAATTGTAAATGGAATCTGCTTGATGTGATTGACGAAATGACAGACTGATTGCTTGATTATCTAGCGTGGCTTACCAATCTTGCGTATAGTAAGTCTCTCTTTAATTTTAAGATTTTAATAATAATACATTAGCTTCTTCAAAGAGCCCCACATCCTATATATAAACACCCTAATGATTTTCTCTCAGTGTAACACTACATGATATGCCACTGATGGTCATCGAGCTAACTGCTTGAAGTGTGTCGCTAGTTCTCTTCGTGGCTCTGGCAATGACTCCGCCCCGTTTGACAGTAATACGTTGAAAAAAATGCACAAAACCAAAAATAAAAATAAAAAAAAATAGTAAAAAGAAAATTAAAATTGAAAACGACAAAAAGTTGCGACCGCATCCGGAACAGGCCGCGACTGTTGGCCCCGTCTCTGGGCTTGGCTGGGCTCTGGCTGCTGCTGCTGCAGTCGTTTGTCCTTTGTCGCATGCAATAAGTGCTAGTTGAGTGGCGGCACTTGAAAGCAGAGCCACACCAAATACACACACACACACACACACACACGCTGACTGCTGGTTATTCAATTGGCCAGCTGCATGTGTTTCTGGCGGCGCTTCGGATTACAGTTTTTGGCCCCCGTTGGTGTCGGTGTCGTTTGTTGGTCTGGCGACCTGACGCCGCCATTTCCGTTTCAGCCAGCACGGAAGTGGCAACGAGATGCCCTTCTTTCCCCCTTCTTTCTCCCCTTCACCCCTTCACCTATTCACCCCGCTCAGCCATCCAACTGTTGGCGTTTCGTGCGGATTTGCTGCGGCCACTGCATACAAAATGTGTTGCATACATTTGAGCGCTTTGCAGTAGGAAAATCGAAACGTGAACGAATAAAAAAAAGCTCACTTAGAGGCCGAGCGCAATGGCAATCAAAATGGAAATGGCAAAACGACAGCCAAACTCACATAGCACAGCAATATTTTATTGTTCTTGTTGTTGTGTAATAAAAATAAATACAACACATCAGTTCGCGTTGTTTCTATTTAAAAGCCAAAAAGTGCAGAGAGTGCGAGACGACTGGTAACAGTGGTAAAAGTTGAGCAAAAATGAGTAATTAAAGAATTAATTAATAAAAAGAATAATTATTATTTATATATTATATATTAGCTACACGCGTCACAAAGTGCTTTAAGTCAAACGCTAATCAAACTTATGTACAGTATAAATTAATTATATATATATATATATAATATAATATAATATATATATATAATATAATATATATATATATATATATATATATATATATATATATATATATATATATATATATATATATATATATATATATATATATATGACATACGTATAGAAAATTAGAATCTTTAGAGTCCTAAGTTGCTGTTAGCTTATTAAGGCTTAAAAATTTTACAAGAAATACTAATTTTCGGTTCAAGCTGAAAATCTTACAAGGGAATCTAACCGAGTCGACCTTGTATTTCAAATTATTTTCAATTCAATTATCTATGCTTTGAATACTTTTAAGCTTTAACAACAACACGGCGAAGAATTCTTATTCTTATTTTTTGGTAGCTTTAAGTTAATACTACACTTTTGACCCACTGTGCTCGGCTACACATTTATAGAGTCGCATATGCGGCCTATACTACTACTACTGGCAGACAATAACAAATGTAATGTCCTTCAGTCGCATTAAGCCACACTAGATTTGCTTTCTCGCTTGCTCTAGCGACTTTGTCACCCCTGTCTCTTTCACTGCCTTTCTCTTTGAGTAGTGGGACCGCGAGAACTACCGCCATTTGCCATTTGGTGTTTCCGTTTCTGCTTAGGGCCCCGTTTTTGCCTTTGCCGTTGACCGTTTTTAACGGCTCGACTAACTTGGCCATTTAAGCACATTTGTCGTCATTGTCCTGCCCTGCCGTGCCCTGCCAGCTTGGCTTGACCAGCGGCTGACAGTGTGCTAATTAGAAGTCCTTGTTGCTTGTGGCCACAACAAAACAGACGCCCGGTCAAATATGCAGGCACACAAAACAATGAAAACTACTTTCGGCGCAAAGTCAGGACGTGTGTTGTGTATCTGTGTGTGTGTGTGTGAGTGAACGTGAGGCCAAAAACTGTGGCCTTTTGTCTTCAATGCTATAAAATGCATGGCACTGCCAGCTGTTGTCCTGTCGTCCTATCGTCCTTTAGTGCGGCACGTTTTTATGCTTTGTTCAATTATTTTGCAAGGCTTTAATCAGTGGGCGTGGCCAGTTAAGACTTTTATCAAGTGCGAGCGAGCTGCTCGCTTAGCCTTTTACGACTCAAAACCGCAGGATGTAAAAAAAGAAAAGAAAAACAAGATATAAATAATTGCCTTGCTTGCTCAGCTGTAAAAAGCGGAACGGGCTATCCATGTATATGTGTGTGGCATATAAACTGCTTAATGTGGCTGGCATTGTCTTCCAGTGCAACGCACATTTGTCTATGGTCCGGTTCCTAGAGCCGAGGCCCAACCACAAGGAATGCCTGCCTGTTTATCATGAGCTGCTTCTTCTTGCTAGCCGCTGGTAAAATACTTTACCATGAGAAGCACACACACACACACTTGTACACGCACAAACAAAATTTGTTTATTATGAAAAACCAGCGAGGCGTAGATAAGCAACTGCCAAGCAAGAGAGGATGAGAGAGAGAGAGAGAGAGGAAGAGAGAGAGAGAGGAAGAGAGAGAGAGAGAAAGAGAGATAGATGGAGAGCGTGCTGACCATGTTAATTGCTGTGGCTATGGCTGTGGCTGTGGCTGCTGCTCAATTTGCCAAGAAATAAAACAAAAATTCTTGTAAATTATTGTCAGAGTTTCGTTGTTTAAGCCAAGCTCTAGCAGATATTATCTTAGATAATATCTAACAGCTCGTATCTTAAGCTATTCTCTGATTGCAAATTGCGCGTGCAACTGCATCAAAATAAATATCTAAGGAAATTTATATGTGCATGCGGCAGCTAAAGCAATTCCTCTTGTTTCACAGTGGCATGCCCTAAGCCCACGCCTGGCCCGCTCTCAGACGCCGCCTCTGAGTAATTGCGACCCATAAATAATGTGTCTGCTCTGACGCCCTGTCACAGAGCGGCGGCGGAGGGGCACATGCAACGCAAGGACTTGCAACGTTGCCAGCAATTTCTTTTGATAACTCAATGCGTCGTTTATGCGCTTTGTTTGCCCCGCGTTCAAGCGGAAATGCACAAAGGGGTAGTTGAGAGAGAGGGACCAAGCGACAGGGAAAGGGATGGAAGTGGGGATGGGATTTCTTCCAGCTTAATATCTACACGATTTGATATACGCACGAACAACAACACTTTTATTGCCACTTAAAAGCTGAGCTATTCAAATGGCATTAAAGCTCCGCCGCCTAGCTACGTGAGCTGCTATTAACGTAATACCTAATTTGTATGGATTGCAGCAGTTTCCAAAGAAGTTATTAACAAGCAAAGGCAGCTTCGGCTCGCAACTTATTTTTATGTTTTTATTTTTTTGAATTGAGATTGGCATTCAAATTGGTTTTGGGCCATAACTGCCTAATGCGAAGCCAACATATAGAGAGGCACAAAAATATTAAAATCGAAGTCGAAATTTTTAAAGCAATGATTTAATTTCAAATCAATTGACTTTTTATTGAAAAAAAATTAATTTTTAGAGTTAAAGTTTTTTATCAATATAAGATATCGTTTAGTAAATAAAGACTTCAAACGAAGCTTCGGCCGTTGAGACTAAGTACTTATCGAACTCAGCAATTCTTTTAATCAAACATGTTCTCATTTCGAATACTGAGGAGGGATTTTATACGATCTAAGATCGATCGAAAGATATTTATGTAAGCTTTATAGATACTCGCACATTGGTGATTTAAGCAATGCTTCTCAATTGGAACTATCCTAATTACTAATTAATTATTTACAATTAGCAAATAATTTTTAAAAACATTTTTAAGCTATCGATGTTAAAAGATGTCACTCGAGGAATATTGCGTGAAATTTGGTACATTTTCGGCTGTATATGCTTTCTTTATATGTATGCTACAGTAAGCATTGATTGAACATGAATATATATATTTTCAGACCTGGCAAGATTTTATATGTGATTAGACTTGGCACAGCCAGCTCTTATTGAGCCTTGATAAATGCTCAATTCTAATTTTACTAAAATTCGAACATAGACATATTACAATTTAACTATGGAAATCTATAAAACATACAAGATTCTCTCTCTCTTAAACTTATCCTAGCAGATTTTGTAAAATGTAAATGCGAAATGTTGGCTGTTCTTTCTGTGGCTGACGCTGATGTAGATAAATTGAGTTTTTAGTTTTTCATTTGCATAAATCTGGGAACTTTCAACAGATTCATAAATTATGGACCCATATTTCAACCGTATTATATATATTTATCTGGCTGAGTCATGTTTTATTTCAAAATTCAAATAAATAAAAAATCATATAAAGGATTGCTCTAAGCGCAAAGCTCTGCACAAGTGCGTGAATGTAGGCGTTGGGGAGGTTGCAGTCCAAAGGATGAGTCAGTAGCTGTCAGACACTTGACGCACACATGCATGCACATACTCACACTCACACACACACATACACATGCCAGTGTCACGCTTTTGAGTTGTTGCTGCTGCGTTGTTAATTTCATTCATTATTTATGGTTTACCTCGTCGAAAACGCATCGGGCACAAACTGGCATTGCACCCGCTCGTACACCTCCATCTCTTTCTCGCTCTCACTCTCTTTATCTCTTTCGCTCCGTGCGTCGGTTACACTTTTAATTAACAAACGCACGAAAATGCTATTTTACATGAGACATGTCACAGCGCCGAGCGTAGCAACTGGCTCTGGAGTTGGGTTAAGTGGCATACGCTGTCTGCTCAGCTACATGTGTGTGCGTATGTATGAGTGTGCGCCTTGCATGAGCGCACTAATTTACAAGACACACACACACTGACATTAACGCACGCATGCCACACAGTCGCATTTCATATGCAGCCGCAACTCGACTTCGCATTACGCATACGCCAAGTAAGCCGACGTATTAAAGCACAGCATGTTACGTATACGCGATGTAAAAGTGTACCACATATTTAAAGAAAACAAACTATCATAAATATATTTAATTTAACTAATTTAAATTATTAACATTTTATAACTTGTCTATTTATTTTTGGGTTTTGTTTACTTTTGCAAACTGGCTAAGACTTTGCTGGCATCTTATTTACATTTTTAACCAAAGCCAATTCGAAAATTTACTATATTTATTTACTTAAAAAAAAGTCTGAAGTTAAACTAATTTATTGGCTATCTAATGACACCTAGAAATAGGCAACAAAAAGCTTACAATTCAGATTGAGTATTCCTTATTAATTACATTTCACTTGCAACAATTTAACTCTCTTAAAGTCTACTTTCTGGCGCTTCTAGGCTGGCGCATTGTTTTGAGCTTTTGCCATTCGGTGGTCTAGAAGTTTTTTTTGGCCTTCTGCAATTAAAAGCGCGCATTAATCAACAGGCGGCGCGACGGAAATTGCAACCCCCGTCCCTGCCACGTCTCTAAATAGTGCGGCGCTTCATTTAGGGGAAGTGCCGGCCGCACCTCTCCGCGCGCCAACTTTAATTTATTTAGACCAAATACAACGCAAGCGAAAAATGGCAAACGACAGAAATTTATCTCTCGCACGCCTTGTCGCATAAATTATGTCGAACAACCACACACACCCCTCATCTCCCCCTCTCTAACAAACAGCCCCCTACTACACTAGCATAGTGGCACAGTCAGCGGCGCCGGCGAAAATTAATGAAAGCGACGCAGCGGCAAAAGATGCCGAAGCAGCGCAAAACAAAGAACAAAAGACATTTAAAATGAACTAAAATCAAATGAAATGTAGCCAAGGGATGGGAGGAGAGCGAGAAAGAGAGAGGGGCCTAATGACAACCACAATGAAGCAGCTGGCAAGCGGAAACGGAAATGAAAGCAACGCAACGCAATGCAGAATGAGAAACGGCCGAATGACAACACGAATGATGCGACGGCTCATGATGTTGCATGCAACAAATCAGAAACGTTGCAAGCGCGCGCTCTTCACAGCAAATGTTGCATGGCAAATGCAATTGTCAAGCAATGACCTCATTAGAGCAGTGGGCTTCACGAGACATGCAGAGGCAGACAGAGAGAGAGACTGCCACAAGGATGTGCCAACTTCTCATGCTACACGCAGCAACCGCAAGCAATTAAAGAATGAGGAACAGAGGTAAGAGCAATGGAGAGAGTCAGCCTGTAGGCGAGCTGTCAACATGCATAGAGCGTCATATACGTCAACTGCCTGACGTGAAGCTCAGCAGCAGCAGTCAGAGCAGCGTCTAATAAAGGGGCTGGGAAAATAAAGAGAAAAACATATTGACTAGCTGCTAAGTAAATATAAAGATATGGAATATCGTTTGTCTATTAATTAATTTAATAGTACGTACCAACTTTTCTGGCACTAGCATTTTCAGTCTTCAAGTTTCTGCAATGAAAGAAATTAGTTTGAAAGGATTAATAATAAAATATTAATAAATATATAATATAATATAATATATATTACAATATAATATAATATATATTATAATTAATATAATACAATATATATAATATAATAATATATTAGTGAAATTCCCAGAGATATCACAGATAATATTGAGGACTACTAAGCTTGATTAGATATTCATAGCTATGCATCTCACACATTGCATTGATTTTTATTACAGGATATCAGTCATCACTTCTTTTCTTATACCTCCTTAAAGCTAACGCCCACTGAGAATTCAAGGATAATGACATTGCGCTTTAAAAGCAACTTCAATTCGCCCACTTTCAACTGTCACACGCAGTGTTCCACCAGCTGTCAACCGCAATCATAAGGACAACCCACGCGCACCTCTATATAGAGCCACACGAAGGCAGCTCAGCAATGAGAATGAACTGTAAGCCGTCACATAAGATATTCTAAGCTCCTAAGCCAGCTTAGCCTCGACGCTGAGTAACCAAGCAAATTACGTCGCATTTAAGTTTCATAATATGCTTAAAATTAAAAACGCAAAAAAAGAAGAACTTTCTCATCTACTTCTCCCATTTCGCTGCAGGATTTAAAGGTAATGTTTTCTTTGGGCATTGTTCGAAACTACAAAGCACGAAACACCTGCCAGACAAAAGACAAAGGCGGGACACACAAAAACACAAAACAGTTGGACCATGAAAACAGTAACTAAAAGGAGCAGCAGACGTCACATTACTAAGCAAGTTGTCTCCGTCTCGAGTCTCTCGAACTCATTCTCTCACTCTATCCATGAATGTGTGTGTGTGTGTGTCAAGACAATGGACTGCGACAAGTGCGGAGTCTATAAAAATTACATGCATTCAGCGCGGGGGCGGCACAACTACTACAAAAACTACAACTTGCAAATGCACAGCTCACAGCCAGACGAGACGAGAAGCGTCGACGGCAACGGCGACGGCGACAACACAAAAGAAAAACTTGTAAAACGAATTCAGCAGGGGCTGAACAAATTCTAAATACCCTAAACTCAAGTTAAGTTTTATTTTGGCCCAAAACGTGCCGCAGCAGTTGGGCACATATGCAACTAGATGTCGCCTATTTGGACTTACAATTTACGTTCACACTGAGTTTTTTTTGGAATCATTCTAATTGCAACTCAATTTAGGCAAAATACTACTGCATGGTTCCCTAATTTCTGCTTGAAAAGGTTTCCGAGGTCAGCACAACTCCTGCTCTATGATTCAATTCTTTGTTCGAGCTTTCATGTCAAGTACCTTGCCAGTGTCTTTCGGAGTCTTTGAGTGTCTTACGATAAGTTTGAGTTGCAGGTGCTCACTATGGCTCACAATTTACAGGGTATAGAAAACCGCATGCTCAACATAAAAACTACAACCGCACAACTACAATGAAAGTTTGGGCTGGTTGTATAGCTCGACATGCACTTGTGCGCATTTGTATTGGACAGCAGAAGCAGCAGGAGCTAAGCACTAAGAGAGACGCAGACACAGCAAGGAGGCAAGGAAGGCGAAGGAGATGAAGGACATGAAGGAGCTGTCGCATTGTCTATGCGTCGAGTTGTTAAGCACAGCGTTGCATTTCGTACTTGCAGCAACAACAACAGCAGCAGCAGCCGCAGCAGCAGCAGCAGCAAGACAATAACCCACACCCAAGTGCATGTGTCTGGTCTGAAATGTTTGTTGTGTTGTCTTTTGTTGCAAGAGCGAAAAGAAAAGCGAGCGACAGCTGTTGCAATTTCTTCTTGCTTTCGCCAAACAAATTTTCAATGGGAACTGAACAAAATATGAAGTAAATTATTGACTTTCGGTTAAGTCGAAAGCATGTGGCTTGAGGCGCATTTGCCTCACTCGCAGAAGCTAATTGACTTGTTGTTGCCTGCAACAGGACGTTAATAAACAGTTCAAGCCGCAAGGCAACAAATGTTAATTACCCCGAACTTTTGAGCTTGTTAAGTTAATTCGAAAATTCAAAAGACTTGAAGAGGGGAGCTCTAACGCGACACCCGCGTCGCCAGCAAAATCTTTTTAGCTACGAAAGAGCTATCGGAGTGATTGAAAGCATTAAATGTGTGAATCGAAAGATAATCTACTAAATTAAAGTAGTATTTCATAAAGACGTAAGATGTTTTCCAATGTAAACTCAAAGCTAAATAAAACTGAAGCAAACTTGAGCAGAGTCAACATTGCAATTAAGTCTTCTATTCAGAGACTTTGACAGAAGTAAATAAATTTCAAAGGTAGTCTAAGGCGGGTGAAGAGTAAGGTAAATCAAGAACATTTCTTAGAAAATACTAAACATAAAAATTTGTGTATACAGAGAGAAAGACTTATAAAATGCTAGAAAATGAAATTTATACTAGATATATGAAACTTTCAGCAGGGGCCAGCACTCAACTTGGTTCTCTCAATGAAAAGCCTGGAGAAATATCCATTGAAAACTTTAAGTAGTTTCAAGTTTGGCGCGCTTCAAGTTTTGCAACAGCAAAAACAAATTATGCGGCAGCTGATATAAATCATTAAGAGGTAAATATTTAGGGCTGGGGCTTTTGGGTGGGGCAGTGATAGCCCAGTGCTTGCAACAGACACACATGCGACCACATGCGGCGCTTGGGTCACTTAAAAATTATGACAAGCAGCCAGCGAGCCAAAAACTGCAAAAGAGACAGCCACAGAGAGATAAAGAGAGTGGGCAAGAAAGGCAGAGAGAGAGGAGAGAGGGAGAGGGAGATACTTGACTGGCATTGTCGTTGGTTATGCATGCAACACACAAAAACCTTGCAACCGGCAGCTGGCAGGCAGCCCAGTGGCAAACGAGGCTGTGCGGGGGCGGGGTCGGCGGAGCGAGCAGCTAGGTCAGGCAACTAAACGAGTTTTTGCCACGGCCTACGCCAATTGGCAAAGGCAAACAAAACGTAGCGCCAGCCACCTTGGCACCGCTTGCCCAGCAGCCAAGTGGGGGAGTTATTTTTGGGGCCGAAGGGCGTGGCAGCTAAGCAGCAACGAACAGAAAAAAACCAGAGCTGTTGTTGGCAAGTCAAACGGAACTTTTGGCTCGTTAAAGCCTATATTGGCACAGCAGGGGAAGGCAGTTGAAATAAGAGAAAAAGCTGTTACAAAATCAGCTTTAGCTTCAACTTCAGCTTTGGCTTCCATATGCAACAAACAAACAAATAAAAAAAATCAAATATATGTATCTGCCACATATGACGCTGCTTGAGTGAGAAAGCTGCGGGGAACAATATGGGCGTAGCAGCATCTACCTGTAAAACCCACCACGCCCGCTACCACCAAAATATTTTCGCAATATTAATTCTGGTGCATAAATTATGCCCAAAATACAACAAAAAAACTGAAAACTTTTCTTCAACAGGCTCCAGAAATTCCAGAAGCGCAGAAAAGTAGGCTACGCGCGAGCAGAAGACAAGCAAAAGTGCCAAGTCAGGCCAAAGTGTGTAAATAAAGTCAAGAAAATGCAATAAATAAAAAATTAATAATAAAAAAAACTTTTAAGTGCATAAATAAATAAATAGCTATGCATAGAATACTCTACAAATGATTTAAAAAAAAAATTCAACTTAAGTTAAATTTTGACTGGGCGAGCTGAGCTATATCTCAACATATGAATATATATTATATTAATATATAAACATATATAAAACAGATATTTGCGAAAACCAATATACTCTATGTAGCATTAAAAACAGAGTATTTTATGTTAGTTCTTTCACTTGTTGTTTTTGATAAGCCGTCAAATAAAAAAATTGCATAACATTTTAATGCATATCAAATGATTTAATTTGACGCTAAAGAGGACCGTAGCAGGGTGTGTGTTTAAGGCAGAGGCGTGGTCAAAGCTGAGAAATGAAAATGACGATGGCCGCGGGTAATTACTTTGATGAAAAATGGCAGTTACAGTGATTAAGCGAAGAGGGTGAGCGAGAGAGAGGGGGAGAGAGACTGAGTAAGAGAGGGGTAGAGGAAGTCGGCTACAATATAGTAGATTACACATACGCCATGTGGTGCCTAGCAGGAAATTAAGCTGGTCAAAACGGAAGCAGCCGGCCAAGGCAATGTGTATATACCAGTGTATGTGTGTGTGTGAGGGTGTGCGAGTATGTATATGTGTGTGTGTGTGTGTGGCGGCCTAATGATGTCAGCCATGTTTGCAGCGAACACGCAGTTGCCGCATTAGTTGTAATTGCGCCCCGAAAATGTAAAAAAAATAACTCAACTTTAAAGCAGCTAAAAGGAAAAGAAGTGGCAGCCAAAACGTGCCCCAAGGCATGCCACAGAAACGTTGCAAGGCGTCCGCTGTGTATTTTTTAACTAAAATATCGACAAAATATGCCAAGCACATAAAGTCGAAGGACCTTGCCGACAGACAGGCATGAAATATCTAGCAGCAAGCAGCTTGCCAGCCACAAAAAAGCGCAAGATAGAAGTTGCAACAGCACCAACAGCACTGACAATAAATTGCAACAAAAATGAGCAATGAGTAATTCATATTGTAAGTTGCAAGCAGATTCAACCCTGGACATGCCCCAACTCCTGGCTCGAGCTGGAGCAATTCAACGCAAAATCAATCTTCAGCAGCAGCCGTGGCATGGGCCAGGCGCCACAGCGCCTGCCACAATTTGGATGAACGTGGCAACGCGCTTTGTTGCTGCTGTTGCTGCCACTGTTGGGAATACGAAACGTGGCAACGCTCAGTTTGAGCCATTGTGGCAACTACTACGTGAGCTGCGACGCCTCGCGTAATATGCTTGTAAACGCAATAAATTTTGTTAGCTTCACTCTGCAAAACTTTCAACATTCGGACATAAAGTCAGACAGAAACAGACACTTCAACTGCAAGAGCATGAGAGAGAGAAAGAGAGGGAGATTGAGACAGACGGAACACATCAGCAGCGACCATAAAACGCGTTTTTGATTTGCTAAATTTATGTGGCCACATTA